CCTTATGCTGTATTCATGCATGTACTTAACGTAAATTGCTCAATCTCCTTTCCCAGTTCCTTTCTTTTTTCTTTGTTCTCCCTCCCCCTGATCCATTTGCTCTACTCTGCTAATCTCCCTTCTATTATTATTATTATTATTTCAACTAGAGCATTATTATTATATAATGAAGGGGATTCATTGTGGTATGTTTGAACATGAACATAGCATAAGACAAATGTCTATAATGAGAACTTTTCTTCTTTCTCTCCTTATTAAGAGAGAGTGTATGACAATAGCCACCAAAGAATTTTAATTTTCTTTTTTTTTGGCCTGGTTTAATTCCTTCACAGAAGAAAATTCTTCTTTAGAGTTGAGTATGCATCATTCATTCATTCATTCATTCATTCATTCATTCATTCAGCAAACATTTATTGAGCACCTCTTAGATTACAGATCATGAAGAAATACAGACACATCTTTGCTAGCTCAGAACTAGGTTCCCTTTCACAAACACAGCAGGTTCTTCATTGTTTTCCACAATTAGACCGGATCTGTCTTTACTTTCCTTTTAGTAATTTTCAAGTGTATAGTCTGCAGTTAATTGCAGTCACTATGATGTACAGTAGATCTCTTGGCTTATTCTTCCTGTCTAACTGAAGTTTTGTGTCCTTTGACCATCTCCCAATTTCCCTCAACCCCCCACCTCTGCTAACTACCATTTTACTTTCTGTTTCTGTAAATTCAATTTTTTTTTGGATTCCACATATGCTACAGTTTGGTTCTGGTATGTTCCACAAAGGCCTGTGTGTTAAAGGCTTAGTCCCCAGGGTGGTGCTGTTGGGAGATGGTGGAACCTCTGGAGGTAGGGCATTGTGTGAGGTCCTTAGGTCATTGGGGCATGCCCTGAAGGGGATTGTGGGACCTGGTTCCCTCCTTCCTCTTTTGATTCTTGGCCATAGGTGAGCAGGATCTCCTTCTTTATGAAGGCTGGATAGCATTCTATTGTGCATATATACCACAGTTTCTTTATCCATTCAGCCATTGATAGACACTTAAGTTGATGCCATGTCTTGGCTTTTATGAATAATGTGCAGCATTCTTTTTTAGTGACTTTATTGTATGGATGAACCACAGTTGATTTACATAGTTCCCTCTTTTTAAAAAAATATGTTTTGGTTGTCGGTGGAGCTTTATTTTATTTTATTTTATTTATTTGTTTATACTTGGTGCTGGAACCCAGTGCCTCACATGTGCTAGGCAAGTACTCTACACTGAGCTACAACCCCAGCTCATAGTTCCTTCTTAATAGACATTTAAGTCATGTTCTAAACCTGCATTCTTTCATATACTAGCCACTAGCCATGTGTGGCAATTTAACTTAATTAAAATTAAATAATAGTAAACATCAGTTCCTTGATCACATGGACCACATAACATGTGCTCTGTATGGGTAACTCACAAAGATGTTGAACTTTTCTGTCATTATATTAAGTTATACTGGACAGTGTTGTTCTAAACTACTGTTTTTCAGACTTTTGTGAGTGCATATTTCCATTTGTTTTATTATTCATCTATTCTTCATTTATTTAGCAAATAATTACTAAATCCCTCCTATGCTCTAGACTCTGTGCTAGGTACTTGCATATCTCACTCATAAAGTGACATCAATTCCTGGCTTCATAATGATTAAATTCTTTTTTTTTTTTTGTACTGGGAATTGAACCCAGGATTACTTAACCACTGAACCACATCCCCACTCCTTTTTATTATTTTTATTTTTTGTTTTGAGACAGAGTCTGGCTTTGTTGCTTAAGGCTTCACTTAGTTGTTGAGCCTGGCCTTGAACTTGCAGTCCTCCTACCTCTGCCTCTCAATGCTTTGGGATTATAGGTGCCCATCATTACGCCTGACCATAATACTTAAATCCTATTAAACTAAAGTTTCTTGAATACTTACTCCTAGTAAATGTGCATGTATTTATAAGTTGTATATCCATTATATTATGCTTCTATATTATAAAGTATGTTCAAGTAGGAAAAAGAGTTAGATAAAAATGTGAATAATTTGTGAAGTAGGCTTCCTGAATCCTACCTCAGAGTCCACTGTTCTGAATGATGTCCTGTTTTAGATATCATCTTTAAAGGGTCTTCCAGCCAGTGCTCCAAGTGAATAGATTTCTATTTCTATATATTTTCTAAATCTACTTATTTCATGACCCCCCCCCTCCCGTTTTATTGTCAGTAAATCCTATGCTGTTTGAGTTTGTACTCGTGTATTCATCTAGCAAATTTGTTTATACTGTGTGCCTGGTAGATGCTATGAAATTGAATGCTTTTTTTTAAAAAAAAATGGTTAAAAGGGTTAAAAAGTCTTTAAAAATATATATATATATGTTTAATTGTCAATGGATTTTTATTTTATTTATTTATATGTGGTGCTGAGAATCGAACCCAGTGCTACACATATGCGAGGCAAGTGCTCTACCATTGAGCCACAACCCCAGCCTTTGAAGGATGTCTTAGTTGAACTTTGTATTAATGTGACCAAAGTACTCAACAAGAATAACTTAAAGAAGGAAAAATTTTATTTGGAGCACACGGTTTTAGAAGTCTCCATCTATAGACATCTGACTCCATTACTCTGGGCCATAAGTAAGACAGAACATCATGCGGAAGGGCTCAGTGGAGGAAAACTGCTCACATGGTGGATGCAGAGAGCAGAGAGAGAAAGAGAGGGAAGGAGCCATAGGAAAGATCTACATTTCCAGGGCACACTCTCAGAGACCCATCTCCAGGCACAACCCACCTGCCTACAGTTAACACCCAGTTAGTCCACTTAAACCAGGATGGGCTGATTAGGTTACAGCTCTCACAATGCAATCATTTCATCTCTGAATATTCCTGCATTAACAGGAGCTTTTGGGTGACACCTCATATTCAAACTTTAACAAATGATTTGGGGTTCTTGTCTTCAGATGAAGTGGACTAGCAAATAAAGGCTTTGGATACAGAGTATTATGGAAATGTTGCAGATGGACATTTAAAGAGGCATTGTTTGGCAGGATGGAGGACAACACTCAAGTAGTCCTCTTTGCTTGGTTATTGTACTTTCTCTGTTTGGGGACTTGATGCAATTACAGGTTTCTTCAACAAGTTCTTTTGTTTTCTCCATGGTCTTGTCTTTTCTTTTGAAAAATATAAAATTTTAACTGGCTGATTTAAGAATATTGAGCCAGATATTGTGTACTAGCAGATAAATGAAAAGTTGTGCTGCAGTTGTGCTGCAATTGTGTATAATGAATCAAAATGCATTCTGCTGTCATATATACCTAATTAAAATAAAAAAAAATATTGAGCCAGTGTAGATGTTCCCACTAAATTTTTTTTATATTAAGATGTTCTCTCACTTTTCTTTCTAAACTTAGATCTTAGGGTTGGGAGGACTGACTCTGTAGAGGCCAGAAACTAAGCACCAGCAATCATGTAGCTCCAGCTGGTAGGAAGAAGCAAAGCCATCCCCCAGAGGTGGGCGTTTATTCTTGTATTCATTTAACAAATATTTTAAAAATCCTTTCTATGTGGAAAAGCTACTTAATTAGAAATAACTCTCCTCTCATTTACTTTTTTTCTTTTTTAAAAATTTGTTTTAATTAGTTATATGTGACAGTAAAATGCACTAATATACTTTGATGTATCATGCATAGATGGGATATAATTTCTCATTTTTCTGAGTATACATGTTATAGAATCACATTGGTCATACAGTCACATACATACATAAAGTAATAATGTCTGTTTCATTCTACTGTCTTTCTTATCCCCACATCCCCTGCCTTCCCCTCCTTTCACTTCCCTCTCTCTGATCTAAGGTAACATTATTTATTTACTTATTTATTTTGCGTTACAGTTCTTAATACACATAAATACCATGCTTTTTTGTATTTCTGTTTGTATATAAAGTATATCGACATCCAGTTCAAGTCTTCATATATGTACTTTGTATAATAATGACCATCACATTTCACCATCCTTGTTACTCCCCTACCCGCTTCCTTTCCCTCCCACCCCTCTACCCTATCTTGAATTCATCTATTCCTCCCATGCTCTTCTTCCCTACCCCACTATGAGTCAACCTCCCTATCAGAGAAAACATTTGGTATTTGTTTTTTGGGGGATTGCCTGACTTCACTTAGCATTATCTTCTCCAAAGCTATCCATTTACCTGCAAATACCATGGTTTTCTTCTTTTTTAATGCTGAGTAAAATTCCATTGTGTATATATGCCACATTTTTTTTTTTTATCCATTCATCCACTGAAGGACATCTAGGTTGGCTCCACAGTTTAGCTATTGTGAATTGTGCTGCTATAACATTGATGTAGCTGTGTCCCTGTAGTA